TCATTTGAATTGCAACATGGGATTACTGGTTAATTATGATTTTGTAATCAATGTAAGTGGGAAGAAAATTATTTTAGCTTTCATCACAAACTATACTTCTATCACTATTAGTTTTTGTATTACAAATAAAGATTTTGCATTACTACACTTCTTCACATATTTTTTCTGTTTTCTTTAATTATTGTTGCCTGGAAGAGATCGCTTAGCAAAGATAAGCGGTGCACCATATTTCTCTTTTTCTTAAGTACATATATATATATATATATATATATGTGCAAAAAGTGTAAATAAATACAAATAAAATTGATTTTGTTATTATTGTTTAACAAACGCACTATTTTCATTACATTATGAATAAAATTAATCAGCAAAAAACCGTTAGAAAACTTAAGCATAATTAGGGTAAGTTTATACGAGAGCGCTGAGTCTGGGAGCCAGTCAATTTCATTTGATTTTGACATATATATAGGAATCATAGTTCTTACTATACGTATCTGAATCGGACTCTACTAAGGCAAGTAATAAAGTGTCCATCACAAAAAATAATTTACATACAACGTAAAATAACTTGGCGAGTAGGAAATAATTAGATTAATAGCTCTATTATACATTCGTTGACTAAAATGGTTAGAAATTTGTGCATAAGAAGCAATTAGCCGGTAAGGCGAAGGGAAAGGGGGCGGAATGCGATACCGTTAGTGTCCGGCAACAGCCCTAGTTGGTCACTCCTTCCACGCAGCAGCTCGATTGTTGAAAATACAACAATTTTCCGTTTATTAATGGTATATGTTACTAAGAACAAAGTCATAAAATAGCCCATTGATTTTGTTATAACATAGCTTTGTTTATTTAGGGCTTTTAAGTGAAACTTCTTTAGGCGCATGAGGGTAAATTTTTAACGTATGAAATGCAATAATAATAATATTAGCGTCACGACGATGTGCAGCGTTTTTGTCGAAGAAAAGAGAAAGAGCGATTTAAACCTATTGAGCGAGAGTGAGAAAGGGTGAACGTAGCATGAAGCAAATAGCCATAGAGCGAGAGTGGGGAGCTAGCCAGTGAGAAAGATCAGAGAGAGAGAGAGAGAGAGATAGTGAGATAGAGCGAACGTCGCATCACTCACAGTGTCATGGAGCGAGATGTGGGAGAGAGCTATAGTGAGAAAGATTGAGAGAGAGAGTAAGGGAAGTCGAGAACACACTATTGGTTGATGTATTCGTTTAGTAGTTACATATTAGAACTTTAGATGGCAATTCTGTCGCAAAACGTCTTGTGCAGTAAACGCAGATTTTTTATTTATTTATATTATCACTAGCCGTTTCGCGCCCGCTTTGCTGGACGAATTAAAATAAATTTTATGTTTCATTATTTTATTTTTTTTCATATTTTTATTATTCTTCTTTTTAACTTCCCGCTAAGAAAATTGAAATATTTCGAAAATCGAGTTTTTAACAGATGTTGACGTTTAGAGGTTCTAGGAAGCCTCCCCGAATGTTTCCGCGGTGAAGTCCGTATGGATAAATTTTCATAAAAGTAAAACAGCAATAAAAAAAAAATGAAGGAACGTTGGAATTTAATAAATAAATAGCCAACCATCTAGGAAAAATTTCGCATCGAATGGTGGTAGTTTCATGTCGATACGATCAGTGGTTTAGGCGTGAAGGAGCCTCAAACGAAGACCATTTTCCTTTTATATATATAGATTAGCACCTATACGTATACAGTGTGAATATAGAATATACAAATACATGGGGTGATCACATACTGGTACATGGTCATCTATTGGGGCTTTTGCCTAAGTAATATTAATTAATTACAAAGAAGTTTCACTTCTGACATGTGTACTTTGTACGCACGCACTTTTTTTTGAGATACTGAATCACTAAGGTCATTGTTAAGGGAAAAGATGGGTTGACGGCCCTGTGACACAAAGTGCTATCACAAAATCTAAATGAAAAATGTTGACAAAATATATCGAAACCAATTTCTCTTTTCGCAACGCATAAATCAGCCAGTACGAAAGAATTAATCCTGGGATTACCAGTTGTCATACGAGTGAGTGGCCGTCACTTGACGTGCAATAATGCGGGCTTTGACGTAGGGGCTTATGTCCCGAGTGCCATTCAATATAGCCAACCTTTTAAGATAAATCACGATCACCACCCCAACCATCTTTCTATATCGATGACACTTTCAAATTAAAATATATTTAATGCTCATCAATCGATTCAGGACCAAAGTTTATATTTATACAAATGAAAATCTAAAAAGATTTTAAACCCGCAAATACTGGCTGAAATAAAAAAAAACTACGTACAAAGTACACATGTCAGAAGTGAAACTTCTTTGGCAAACTAATTTAAATTAAGTCTTGTTCATATTTATACAAATCTAAAACTTTAGATTTCCGAGACTTAGAGGGAGGGAAAAAGGAAGATTTGTTAGGAATTTATTTGTCATTAAAATATTAAGTGTCGAAAACTAATACAAATTATAAATTTAATTTCAATTTTAATAAATAAAATTTTTATAAAAAATTTCAAAAGATTTCAATAAATTATTTTGCATAAAATATAAAATACTAATATTTATTAAATTCTCTTTACGAAATTTTAATTTTAAATTATATAGAATATCTATAAGGTAATTCGCCCTTCTCACTCTCAATCGGTCTCAATTGCTCTCTCAAGTATTACTGCATTCAATGATTTTCAAAAAATTACCATGATGTCCCTTAGTCTTGGGACGCCCTGTATATGTATTATCCAATACATTTTTAACATACGAAAGACATCTAAGTCACGCTATATCTCTCTTTCCATGTGAACAAAGCCAACCGAGTAATACTTTAAAGATAAATCTTTTATGACAATTTCGAAAACAGCTAATGTTAGCATATGTACGATTGAAAATAGACTAATGGTACAGCATCCACTAAGGGAGGGACTCAACCCTGAGGTCGTGTGTTCAAATCCCAGTTGAACACTAATCTTATACATCGATCAGTTAAAGAATATTTTTCGTAAAGTAACAAGATTGACAAAACATTTATGGAGCTATTTATATTGCCTTTGAATAGTTATCATGCAATACCAAATAAGAAAATACTCATGATAAACTCGTCAACTCATAAGATGGACGACTGCTAATTTTACTCAAGTCAGCGACCCGGACCAAGCATCAAGTCCCTCGTGCATAGAGGAACAATGAGCGGATGATAACGTTATCTATGTCTGGCGGGGAGGAGGCGCCGGAAGTGTATTCGATATAACTCCTCGTAATACATATCGAGCAAGAAAAGGGACATATAATAAATAACATAAATGCTGTAACTGTCAAGTATAAGTTGGCGTTTGGTCATAACGTAACCAATTATGACAAATGTCAACTGTCAAAGTTTGTTTTTTTATAGAACTGATAGCGCCGCCCATGGACACTCAATGCTAGAGGGCTCGCGAATTTTAAGAATTGAAGGACCCTAACTCGAATTGGTTCGGAAATACTAGAATACGTGAGCACCTGGTTCCACATAGTGGTGGTGCGCGGCCTTAAAAAACGCTCAGTTCTGGAAAGACGGACGTCGAGGTGATATCCGATGACAAAATTCAGCTGCAGGTATTAATCCGATCAACTCTTCTGAACACTCTCCATGGTAAATCCGGTAGAAGGTCTTGGAAGCGTCGTTCACAATATTGTAGTCGGCGCCAACATTTCAATGCCAAGTCATACTTGACAGTTTGTAAAATACTATAATAATTGACTTTAGTATAGAGATAATGCACAAAGTGTACATAAAATCAGTTTTGTAAGAAAATCTGAAATAGTAACAGTTAATGATAGACCTGAATCTTGAGGAAAAATCGCGGCGTTGCCAAAATTCAAACGATTTTCGCAAAGCAAACGCAAAGCTACTTGTTTCTATAAGATACAGTTTTCTAAAATTATCGTAAAATAATATTTTAAACATAGTTTATAAAAAAATATATATGAAAACTTCTTTTGTACTGATAGGTATACAGCATAACTTTTTTATGAATGACAGATTACAAACCATGTTATGTAAGCGTTTATCTTATCTGGGGCCTAGACCACGCAGTTCTTTGTAAATTGCGATACTGAGTGAATGAGTAGTTTGCAAAGAAACTAATTTAATCAATGGAACGGCAAAGAAAATCCATATTGTTATATTTAAATTTAGAATATCAGAACAACTATAACTGGAAATTATAGAGTATAGCAGTTTACAAGGTCCATAAAGAAAACGAGAATAAATTCGATTTTTAAAAAAGGCTTCCATTTTGTTGTATTTCATTAAATCTTGATGAAGTTTTGGAAATAAATAAGATTTTATTTTTGATTCAAATAAATACGCTAACTGTCAATTGTCTAGTTCACACACCCTGTGGTTAAAATCTTCGATAAATAACCGGAGCTGATGTACTCTGAGTTGATTGATGTGTTCCGTACGTCCATAAATGTAGCATCTCACACATGAGACCCTCGTTTTTGTAAGGAAAATGTAATTTATAAACGACTGCTAACTGTAGATAACAATAAAAGATGGATTTCAAATATCAAATTGACTACCCTGTCAGTGGAAGAGAGTAAGTGGGGTTCTAAGTATATTATCAATCGCGAATGGCATAACTAAAACCCCGTACTTTATTAAGTAAATAGAAACTTTCGTATAGTAATAATAGTAGATGCTTTTTGTGACGTCAATTGATTTTAAAATTATGTATCCGTTTCCCTTTTTGGGTACAATAAACCACGATTCGATTCCCAATTGAATGAACACGCATAACGCGTTCTAGGCACACACATTACGTAGTGATTCGAGATTAATATTATCAGATAGGGGGACCAATTAAGTGTTGCTATGTACAACACAGGTAAAACTATTCAAGCCACTAAAAACCAGGTGTATGGTACTTGATAATCAAGCCGTAATCAACCAATTAACATATAAACCCTATGCATGATCCAAGACGTGGCAATTATCATGTCACCATCGGTAGTTCACCTGTGGTAGTGGAAAAAACTTGCTGAGTATAAAAAACTGTCCGCGAAGGACGCGTGCCTGCGTACGCACATCTTGCGTCCCTTTCACACAGTAGCCCTTGCAAATCAGGTATTGCTGTTGCTTTTATTACTGACAAACCTGTTAGATCTTTCCCTATCAAATGATTATGCATATCAATAAAGATATTTATGTACAATTTTTTTTTCTAATCCTTAATAAGTACTTGGGCTTGTAGGTCTCATGGAAACTCAGCCTATAGGAAAATATTTTAAACAATATTATTGAATTGGGAATTGGGTTTGTTTTCTCATAGGTAATTATTTTTTTACTTTAATAAAACAAATTGTATTAGATTTGTGGAGGTTTATATTTGTTCATATTAATCAATAACTCTTGGTAAAACACATATGATAATAAATCCTCTGTCCCATTCAAAACAAACATGCTCATTAGTTGGTGTGATAATCGCCACACAAAATATTACTAGTAAGTAATAAGAAACTGTTTTACAGTTAAATTTGTAAAACTTGCTGATTTATTTTATATTGCTTTATTATCTTGCTACCAATTAAATCAATGTTGAAGTTGTCTTGCAGTATAAGTTTTGTTTTGTAAGTAGTAAGTATTCTTGACATAATAGTGAACTGCTGATATTAAAGTGCTACAGACAACTTTTCACCAGGTAGTTAATAAATATTTAGTTATTTCATCATGAGAATGACATAATATAAGACGAATTCATTGACTTTATCCTCGTAACTATTACCTACAAAACACAACTCAAACAAATGCTATAACGGCTTTAAGATGATGTAAAAAATATTTGAGTAGATGAGTAATGCTTTTCTTACCGAAACTCTCTGTTAATTTTAGCATAACCCCGCCGATATGCATGTCACCCTTCACAACCATTGTACGCTTCTCATTCATGTCCGTCACGTAAATGGTGAGGTTCCACGAACCATCTCCAACTATTTCACCGTCTGCCAACATTTTGCACTAGTTTTGTACACTTTGACACCAAAAAAGTTTATTCTTTTAGCACATCGCGACAGAAAGTGATTGCGTACACGTTCAACTGTTTACAGAATTGACATTCGACTGATATTCGTCAATCTACAATCGGAATTCGGAATTCGGAACTGACTGATTCATGATGAATCATCACTCATCGTTCACAATTTCACATAATATCACAGTTCAAACAAAACTCACAAGATTGACCAATTTGATGTTTGTCATATGTCAAACTGAAAGTAGCAACTGCTGTTTGTTTGTTGTCACTGCCAGTTTTGAAAATTAACCTTTTTTATACTTCATACTTCATAGTTCATACCCAAGTTGGCACTTGGCAAGTAGATGTGTTGTGGTTAATAAGTTAATAACATAAGTATCGGTATTCAGTATTACAATTTTGACTTTTGCAACTCTTAACTAGGCATAATAATTAAATGTTATACAACTTTATCAATATATTCAATTATTACTCTATTGTGATGTAGATCAGTTAATATGCATTGGTGAACTCTACCATAATTATATTTTATAAAATAGTATAGGTTTGTGTTCTTGTCTATATGAGCAAGAGAAAAGTTTCAACAAATGAGATGGTCGCCAAAAGTGAAAAAAAAGGTAGTTTCTGTGGTTTCTGAAATAGATACGTAACTATGCGTGATCATTAATGGAGATTTTATTGTGTTTTCCTTTCAGTACTAGCGTGTTCTACGCCAGAACATAGATTAGAGTCGCCGTCAAGAGACAGCGATTCCATTTGTGATTCAGACGCTGGAAGTCCAGTACCTTTTTTGTGTACTCAAGATGGAGCAGAAGGAGAAACTGATGTTGTGTGGAATTTCTACACACCTAAATCTGATAAAGGTACATCTCGATCAAAAAATACAACTCCCCTTAGTAGAAAACCAAGAAAGACGAGAAAGTTAATAGAAAAACCGTTACCTAAAAGAAGAACAGTAAGGCCGTCACAAAAGAAGACAGAAATCTTTCAAGATCTTATTGAATTAAATCAAAATTTACATGAAATAATAGGAAAAAAATCTAAAACAAATATTAATAAACCAACATCATGTAGTGAAGAAGACATTTTTAGTGATACCAGTGAAAGTTCTCCTAAAAGTGGCTTAAAGACAAATAGCCGATGCCTCAGAAAAAATGTTTTAAGTTCGAAGTTCAAAAAACAAGAGCCTGAGAATTGTTTAGAATCAGATGATTCAATGAATGAGTGTCTTTTAAAAGCCAGCCAGGTTGTTGAAGAGAACATAATCAACTATGATCATTCTGCTCCAAAAAGGCCATGCCGGGCAATATCTAATGAAAAAAGTTTTACAACCGATGTAAATACAACAATTGATCAAGTTTGTATGGATACAATTTTAAGTAATATTAAACTAGAGTCACCTTGCCTGATTAAAGCTAAGAAATGTAGCTCTCCAAGATTTAATAATGATTCTTTTGATAATCTGCTTGGAGGTTTGAATGATAGTGCTTTAGAAAAATTATCGCAGATGCCTGTCAAAGATACAAAAAAATCAAATGCAAATGATTCAAATTGGGCATTACAAGACGAAAGCCAGTCCTTTAAATCTATGTTTGCCCGACATAACTCAATGCCGGAGTCACCATCTGTTAAAGAACTAAATCAACCATCAACCAGTGGCATGGCTTTTGGTAGATACAGTTCAATGCCTTTTAACAAAAGTGATGAAAAAATCATAGGTAAGAAATCAAAACTGTCACTTATCCTTATATGCTGATGATGTTTTGTGTAAAGGTACATATATGCATAGTTAATAATGTTATGTTACATTAATGAAGTAAGTTAAAGATTTATGAGTGATATGGATGAATCTTTAAATAGCAATTTGATGGCATAGTATTTTTTTTAAATGTATTTTTTTTGTTGCAAACTAACATTAACAATGAGGTAAATTTTTTTACCTATTCAGAAAAAGGTTGCAATAAAATTTATGTACTATGTATTAGAATATATTGGTGAGAACCAACCTCCATATCATTTTTATTTTAATTACAATAGCATGGATTGATACATTATTGAGTTTTTAGTTCCAGGTGATTCACCAATAAGATGTACTCCTGATGAAATAAAGAAAAAACATCTGCAGGCACGGGAAAGATTGTTGGCTAAGAGACTTCTGCCATTTACAACATCGCAACAATGCTCCCAATCAGCAAATAGTCTCACTCAACAATATATAGAAACCATGCCAACAAAGAAAACTGTCTTCCAACCAAAAGTTGCTAGTGCAACTACAAAATTATCAAATCAAAAAAATATTCCCAATATCAATGATACAAAACCCAAAGCACATGTAAAAAATGACACAGCTGACCTTAAATTATTAATTGAAAAGAAAAGACAAGAAGCACTAATGAAGCTGAGACGAAGGCAACCAAAATAAATACATAACAGCTATTGCCAAGCTTAATTTTTTTAATGAATCAATCAATGTGATACGGGTGTGTTATGTTTTACAGGTTTTAATTTACAAAATATATGTTTCAATAGGTATTGTGTAGATATTAATATTTTAATGAGGACAATGCGATTTTTATCTGAAAATTGTTTTATTATGCCACCCATATTTCGAGATACTATATGTTTATATATAGATATAGTAGCCATAGTTGGATATTACATAAAATATATTTATTTTATTATTATTACATAAAATATGTTTATTTTATTATTATTACATAAAATATATAAGATAGGTACATTGTATTGAGTAATATTTGCCGCAATCTGCTATGAATAGAATTAGCCTTATTATTTACCATATAATATTCTATTTTGAAAAGTATAGCGAAAAAAATTGCATAAATGTTCAGTTTTGTAGCGACTTGACGTCTTTTTGACCTTTAGTTTTGTTTGGCTTTGGAATTTTTAATTTAGATAATAGTTGTGACTCGTGAGGCTACCTATATTAAATGTATCATAAAGTGACATCTAGCGTCAAAAGTAGTTACAAATTTTCTCATTCACAATTTCGTAGAACATATGACGCTGATTTAAAATAATATTTTGAAACTTTAACAAAATTATGGCTGGGATGGGTTCCAAATATTATAGTAAATAAAATAATTAAATATGGGTTAATAATCTCAGTCTTCACGAGCTATCTCATTGGAAGTAATCTGTTATCTGCAATGTCAAAAATCTGGGAAATGACAACGACAAGTACCGATTTGTCAAATTAAAAATTCAAGTGCCAACCAGATACCAAAATAACCAAGGGTAAAATTCAGAAATTTAAAAATCTTGATACAAATTCTAAAAATTAATTAGATACTGTCCGAATTTGGTAAGAAGAAAAGCTCTGGTAGAAAATCATAGCAACACAAGACAGATCACGCAGCATGATACTGCCTATAGTATCAAGGAGAAATATTTTACATTGAGACTTTATCTTTACCACAAGTTTATATTATCAATTCACTGTAAATTTAATTAATCCATATAATGGCGTTAAAAATGGTACGTAAAGCTGTCAAAACTATATGTTTACGAGAAAAATGTAGTGGATTACAAAGGACTTTAAGCACTAGCGAACCCGTAAGGTTGGGTATGATCCCTATTGTTGTGGAGCAAACTGGACGGGGTGAGCGTGCATACGATATTTACTCTAGGCTTCTCCGTGAACGAATCATATGCCTAATGGGACCCATAAATGACGAAATAAGTTCATTGGTTGTCGCGCAACTTTTGTTTTTGCAATCAGAATCTAGCAAGAAACCTGTTCATTTATACATTAATTCGCCAGGTGGTAATGTAACAGCCGGGCTTGGTATATATGATACTATGCAGTATATAACTCCACCAGTTGCAACTTGGTGTGTTGGTCAAGCTTGTAGTATGGCATCTCTACTATTGGCTGCAGGAGCACCTGGTATGCGCCATGCCTTACCTAATTCCAGGATCATGATACATCAACCATCGGGCGGTGTGAGGGGTCAGGCTACTGATATACAGATACAAGCTGAAGAGATTTTAAAACTAAAAGCTCAAATAAATGGCTTATATGTTCGTCATACTGGTTTGTTAATTGATAAAGTACAGTCATCTATGGAACGTGATTACTTTATGTCCCCAGTTGAGGCTAAGAGCTTTGGCTTGATAGATAATGTTTTAGAGCATCCACCATCACATGCTTTGGAGAATGAAACTGGTAATTCAGGAGCTACAGCAACAAATGCTTAACTATGTGATAGTATCATATTGTTTTTAATTAGTAAAGATATAAAATATATTTCTTATATAATCACATGGCAGTTTATTTTCCCAATAATATAACACATAATTGATAATAAATGTTTAATGTTTATAAATTGTTATCATTCATCAAACTTGTTTATAAGAAATTCTCTCAAATGGAACAAACATTTTCTCACTCAAGTCAATCAATAGGACATAATATTTTTTCTGCCTTCTCATGTATCCAGGAATAATAGTGAGATACATTTGTATAGACAATTATAGCCGGAAAAGAGGTCACCAAATAAGATACTATACCAATTATTTGATAATCCTTGCTAATCAGTCCGCTGCCAGAGTCTCCTCTGTAAAAAATTATTTCATTACAAAAACCCTTATTCAAAAAACTTGTTTAGTCTATGATGTTTGAATTCAAGAAAAACTGGACTTTCTCATTTCTTTATAGTGTGACCACAGTTTGACAAAAAGAATGAGGTTGTAAGAAAAATAGTTAATTATATAGTTTTTATGACTACTATTGTTTATGCCCTATTCTTAAAGTTGTACTTTTACTACGAATAGGTATAATATGATGGAATGAAAATTAGAATAAGCTAATTTAGACTTAAAGAAACTTTTGAATTCATGTTTCTATGTATGCCGTAATTTCACAGAAACTGTTTAAATTAACCCAAGAAAAACACAACTTTAATCGTGTTTATTTTTGGGAATATTTTTCGGGATGGGATGGGATCACAAGGATTTGTAGTTTTCGTAATCATTTGTTTTACTGGATATAGTTGATTGGGCCGTCGTACACCTGGTGGGGCGTGGGGGACAGAACAGTTATTTCGGGTTTGTCCTTCCTGTTTGGTCTGGTTTTATGGCGCCAGAAGTTGAGAAAGTCGCACTCGCTTGAGACCGGTAAAAAAATCGCCCAGGAGGTACGAAGAGGACGTAAATGTATTGAATGTGGTCAAAGCATTTCTCGGAATTTGGATAGGATAAGACTCCCCGAGGAGCAAGGAGTGAACCCCACTGTGACAATGTATGTGTAGGGCATCGTTTCTCTACCATTTTTATGTCGCGACCCACGAAAAAGCCAAAAAGTAAAAGAGTCCTGCGACCCCGTTACTGTAACAAGTGGGTACCTACATATCGCGCTAGTTTTAACGAATCTTTTGTACCTATATGTAGTTTGTATTGATTATTTTTCAACAGACTGCGTCTTTAAAACAAACTCGACCCCCCAAGGGTCGCGACTCCCCGCTTGAGAAACGATGGTGCAGGTGAATAGAGGCTTTGAGAATGGTAGGATAGTTTTAGATCCACCCTGAGAGGGTCGCCAACTCGCCAAGGAGACCGTGGAGAATTATAGCGTCACTGTATGTTTGTATAACAGCATATGTTTTAATTAAAATGACTTCCCTATGAAAAATATTTAGGTCTGCCTCTAACTCTAAAATAGCTGGATAAACACTTCTACAAAAAAAAATAAAGAGGGAATTCTGCGAGTTTTAAAGAACTCATCAAATATCAATAATAAAATTACACGATTATAAGTATACAGACTACGTAATACAATTAAATTTCTTTTAATTTGGCCTTAAAAACTAAATTTTCTTAAGTCCCCGATTTTTTTGCAAAAGAGTATATCCTATAGCTATTTTACTTACGTGACTACGGCTTCAGCGTATGACTATACCCAGTATAGAGGACAGTATAGAGTCAGTATGGAGGACAGAATTCCAATATTGATCGAGGATTTTATTTCCTTGATCGAGAAAAAAAATCGAATCGAATGGTTGCCGTGTGAACGATTGCATCGTATACGGTAAAACCGTATACGTGAAAAAATCGAATCGAATGGTCGCCGTGTGAACGTGGCCTAAGGTTGTGCGTTTAAATCTAGGTGTGTGTGTGGGATTTTATTACGGTAACGCTAAACATCCTGATAAACAGCAAGCATATTTTAGATCGCCTACTTGTCTATACTAAACAAAATATCAAAGGAACGGTTTCAATCTGAAGCCAAGAACTATAGGGTTGAAGCGCCATTGGATTATAGAAGTGAAACTTCTTTATCGGGGTTGGAAAAAAATTTAGTGTAACATTTTTGCGTTACGCGTCACATTTTTCCGTTACGCGCCATCTTGCTTTTTGAAGTCAAACTTCTTTATCAGCGTTAAAATATGACATATAGTATGTTTTTGACTTTGAAGTTTGACAACGGATTACATTTTCGAAGTCAAACTTCTTTATCGGCGTTAAAATATGACATATAGTATGTTTTTGACTTTGAAGTTTGACAACGGATTACATTTTCGACTTGAAATTTGCTAATCGCAATTTGCAGCATTTAATTTGTAAATTGTATGCTAGGCAGTGTATCAAAATTTACTGTGTTTAAAGAAATAGTTTCTAATAAGGTCATAAAGAAGTTTCACTTCTTACGTGTGTACACCTAGTACACGCACACATTTTTTTATTATTTGTTAATTACTTTGATGGTCTTGAATGATTGGAATTGAAACTTCCCGCACATATCATTCCCTTGTGCATTGTACCAATTCGTGAACAGGCATCTTTAGACCTCAACTTCTGCGGGACACTCTTCAGCTTGAAATCAAATTCACTCATCTGGCTCTAGAAAGTTATGATTCAAAGATTAGGTACCTGATAAAAGACCAGTAGATAATAATTCATAACTAAATAAGTCTCCAAACATGTGACAGATATTCTATCTTTAAAAAAAATCAATCGTTAAGAAGAAAAATTAAAACGTCGTCAGCTATGTAACTTATTTGCTGGTATAGTAGCTACTAAATTACTGTTTAGTATTAATATTTATGTGTAGTCTATACTGAACAGTTATTTAATAGTTTTTTTTTGTATATTCCTAGAAATCTTGGGGCACATCTTTGCATTTATATTTTAATCTAAAGGCAAGTTGATCAGCCCTCAAAACCATTTATATTAATATAAATACAGTGGAATCTTTATAACTCGAACCACGTTAAGTTGAAGAAATTTGTCATTCCTTTCCGCTGAACCCTTAAATACGTTGTATCTCGAATTATTTAGACTTTGTAACTCGAACAAAATGTTATTTCCCTACGAAGTATTGATAATACATACTTGTACTCTATAACTCGAATTTCAAAACGGAGACTCCGTAAGTCGTAGTTAGTAAAATATAATGACGTCTTTAACTTGGAATTGTCCGAAATAATAGCAATAAAATTCAAAACGATTGTTCGGGTTCGAGGCTTCTAATCTATTGTTTTTGTCTTGCACACGTGCAATTAATGAATATTCATAATTTTTAGTGTTCAGTTTACTTAATTAATATGTAAAAAATTTATACAACAAAGCTTAAGTTGAATTACTCCAAGGTTCTATTACCAGTTACCCTCCTTTTCATGTAATTCTGTCATTTGTATTATATCTCTGTATGCAACGAAGTGTTAATAAATAAATAAATATATTACGCCGTGAATCAAGTTTAAGACTAGCCATAGTGAGTTTACCTAATACAAAACTTACATTCGTTGCTCCCCATCCAGCTAAGATTCCGTCTTGCTTGAGGCTACTTGGCCGCAAAATCACACGCTTAATAAACTCCCCTAAGGGTAATGCGCGCTTAAGTTTTACCAAAGCAATGTCATTAACTACGTTTTTGGAGTCGTAATATTTGTGACGATATACAGCTTTCACCGGTCTTACTAGTTTCACCTAAAATTACACAGGAAATTTGAAATTAAATGACTTAATGTTTGTCCGAAACATGTACTTGATTTGTTATTTCTTACGATTGTGTTTAGAAAAAATATATTTTTCTATAGAATAGGGCCCGGTATACCTATAGATAACGAGCAACGCATATTTGGATTCAACTATGTTAAAAATGTATGTAAAAATTCTAGAAGTTGGCAAAGTTTTTGTTGTAGTAATCGTTGAATCTCTCAAATCTCAATATGTCTATAAACACCAGAAAACCATACCTGAAAAATGTCATGATGTCCCGCATACAACCCTATATTAGTATGTTCATTTATTAGCTCAAAACAGTGTGCGGCAGACACTAACAAGAGTTGATTCAACACAGAAGATCCACAAATACATACATCATTATCCAAGTTTATTTTCAAAAATGCAACATGAGGAAAATTTTTAATTGTTGCATATTGCCCTCCAATAACTTTCCCCTCAAAACTACTGCCTAAACAAACATCGACTACAAGCAATAGTATTACAACGTCAGTAGACATATTCAAATGTAAAATGGGTCAATAAAAGAAGATTAAAAGTTTTATAGCTTTAATTCCGTTGTTATAGGACCGTAAAGTTTGTAATGACGAACAATAATTGAATGAAAATCTTGGTACGTATGGTGTCGTTACTTCAATTTGAATTTCAAATCATTGTGATTTATTTGGTAATGAGAACGGATTTCAGAACACAATACACCAGAGCTTGCTTATAAGAATACGTTAGCTAAAACCGTAATCACCCGTGGCGTCTACGTGGAACGAATTCTAAAAGTAGCAAGTGCCAAAATTCATCGAAATTGGTTAGACAGTTTAAGCCTAATAAAATTAGTATTCGGAGGCGTAATTTACTGCCGTAAATAGAATCTATATACTCTAGTTTAGATTATTTGCATAGCTTGCACCTAAGATTATGTGTAGGCGTGAACGTGACGGTAATCTATTAGTATACTATTTTAATATTTACGGGGGCAGTTATTAATTCCTTTGAACTTCACGCCTTGTCAAGATGCGTACAAACAAGGTCGACACATGTGGGTTGCTACATCAAAACAATATTCCTTTATAATCTGTGAATTATATGGCGCGTGCGCGGTTCCTGGGTCGATATTTAGTGACGTCAACGGGAGTCCGACTTCAGTCAGCCGCCGGTGGTCACAGAGATCATGTGGCTGCAATGTATCACCGTTACTGTACTGATCGCCGCGACTTGCTCCCGCGAAGTTTTCACCAACTCCTTTCTGGTGCGATTCAAGAGGTCCCTTCGTCACGAAGAGGCCCACAATATCGCCCTTCATCATGGCTTCGACAATCTTGGCCCGGTAAGAGCACGTGATTTTAGTAAACATAAGCATAGTTAGTACAATGGTAGCGGGAAAGTTATGATTGAGTGATAGGATGCGTTACTTATTCATTTTCGTGGGAATATTCCAGGGTATTCTTATATGTTTTTATACAATTCTTTTAAATAATTTAATTTATTATATATAAAACAAATTTTGAAGTATAAACTCAAATTGAGTTGATAATAGATTAAACAAAATGAATTAATTCAACACAAAATCTTTTACACGGTCGATTGAGATAAGTTATGAATTTGTTTGACGGGTTTTATTCTCTAGGATTTAAAAAAATATTGTCCCTGAATGATTAGTATTATGTGCGAGAAAATAAGTTAACCAAGTTACCATTTTTCTTAATTTAATTACACGTTGGTTTCAAAATGGTTTAATGTTTTTAATACATATCTATATACAATATACATGTTATATTAATGATCGAATCAGTCACCTACGTAGTCTTTGAATGCGTGGCTGTGGCTAACCAACGTAGAGAAATCTTCGGAGCAGTGTGGTCGCTCCGTGAAGCCTGCGAACTGCGAAGTGCCCAGGCGATTTCTGTGCTTCTGGAAGGAGCTAGGTTGGCTTATTTTGCCAGCACAACGGACTTAGAGTCTAAGTGCGGAAACTGAATCCACCAACCATTAACTTTTTAACCTATTAATTAATAAATTTAACGTAATATAGGTTCGTAACGTAACGTATTTAACGTTCGTAACGTAACGTAACGTTTTTAACTTAATTAAATTTCTACGTTGAATTAAAATTTTATCATTGCTCAATTTAAATGAATAATTACTTTATAGAAACACAATTAAACTGCAACGAATATAGAGTCCGCTTGTCAGGAGGTAATATGGATGACGTCTGTTGCCCCAATTCGTCATACCATAATATTCATTACCTCGATAACCTGTTGAGTGATAAGCTCTTGTATCGCTGTATTGGACAGCTTTGATAGCGAAACAATCTGAGCGATACATATTAATTATTCATAAAGAGGTAAAATCCCAGTTGTTCTTTTCTTTATTATTAAAATGTCGTGGCTTCTAGTACGTTTCACTAATCACTTAATGTGTAAGGGTAATTAACCCCCCAATTGGGTTTATTGGGTGACACAACACGTTTAATTTTTTTTCTATCACTATACAGTCGACTATCGATAGTTGGAAAGTCAAGATAAATTTCTAATTACCAAGAGTTCATAATAAGAGTTTGATCATTAACATCATTATTCACAAATTTTTCATTCGAAAAGAAGTCCATAATCTTTTTTTGGGTGAGCGGCTTCAGTCATTGTTCAAAAAAATTTAAGAGATTGACAGGTCTGTGCATGATAAACACTTAAAATTATATAGAAGGGAAGCCGGTTTAACTATTAAACCAAGAATTGAATCTACTTAGCTTACAAATATTTAAATATGCAAGCGTTTACCTGCGGTACTCTCATACCCCGAGGTCATAGGTTCGATCCCCGGCTGTGCACCAATGGACTTACTTTCTATGTGCGCATTTAACATATGCTCGAATGGTGACGGAAAACATCGTGAGGAAACCGACATGTCATAGACCCAAAAAGTCGACGGCGTGTGTCAGGCACTGGAGTCTGATCACCTCCTTGCCTATTAGATTTAAAATGATCATGAAACAGATTAAGAAATGTGAGGCGAAGACCTAAAGAGGTTGTAGCGCCACTGATTTATTCATTTTTTACCTGCGTCACTTGATGGAACGTAACTAGCTAAAACTAAACTAAACTAGAAGTCTGGTAAAGAAATTAAAACCCTTTTATATGGGACCCTGCGTTATATGAAATAACCATTGCAGCTGAACGTATAATAATGGTCACGAAACACTTTTGTATGGAAAGCTTAGGAAACGCTCAGTGCACGTATTTTGAACTAAACGGCAGAACGATCATGTATAATTTAAATAGAATACGCGTAATAAACTATACTTATTGTATGAAAAGTAATATAAATGTTACGATACATTTGAGCCGTCAAATAGAACGTGGAAAGGCATCCAAAACGCGCGGAATTGTCAAAAATTAACTTGAATTAAATTGTATACGTGTTCTACCAAAATAGAATAAGTGGAGATACTATCAAAAGTAAGTGCCAATTGCCACACCCGACAATGTACATTGAACCGCCCGTATTAAGTACAGATCAATGTCACGGTGTCGTTATCTCGTTATCAATTTGGCCATTTACATTATTCTGATTTGCGATGAATAAATAAAATATTAGTGACACTACATTTATGTGTAGCAGTGTTGGCCTAATGGCTTCAGGGTGCGACTTTCATCCCTGAGATCGTAGGTTCGAACCCCGGTTCGGCTGTGCACCAATGGACTTTCATTTTATGTGCACATTTAACATTCGCTCAAACGGTGAAGGAAAACATCGTGAAGAAAGCGCCTTAGACCCAAAAAGTCGACGGCGTGTGTCAGGCACAGCAGGCTGATCACCTAATTGCCTACATTAATAAACGATCACGAAGCATATGCAGAATCTCAGGCCCAGACCCAAAAAGGTTGTAGCGCTATTGATTCATTCATTCATTCGCATTTATCTAGGGAAGTACTCGACTCGAACCAATTCGACTTAGGGTCTTTCAAGAAAAGAGCGTACCGATTCTTAAAGGCCGGCAAGGCACTTGCGAGCCTTGGCAATGTGAGTGTATATGGGCGGCGGTATCTCTTAACATCTGGTGAGCGTCCTGCACGTTTGCCTGCTATTACATAAAAAAGAAGTGCGTGCGTACAAAGTACACATGTCAGAAGTGAAACTTCTTTGTAAATTAATTATTACTAAGGTAAAAGCCCCAATAGATGATCATGTACCATATGATCACTCCATGTATTTGTATATCTATTTTCACACTGTATACGTGCTTATGATAATATAAATAAATAAAAAATCTGCGTTTCTGTTTAATCTGAAGTTCTAATAACTACATCAACCGATAGCGTGTATTTCTCTCTCTCAATCTTTCTCACTATAGCTCTCTCCCACCTCTCGCTCCATGGCACTGTGCGTGATGCGACGATCGCTCTATCTCACTCTCTCCCTCGATCTTTCTCACTTGCATGCTCCCTACTCTCGCTACATGGCCATTTGCTTCATGCTAAGTTCACCTTTTCTCACTCTCTCTCAAGCGGTCTCAATCGCCCTCTCCCTTTTCTTCGATAAAAACGTTGCACATCTTCGTGACGCTTATATTATTTTTATTGCGTTTCATCCGTAAAGATTTTACCCTTATGCGCCTAAAGAAGTTTCACTTCAAAAATTCAATTGCTATGTTTAAAACTGAGAAAACATCCGAAAAAAAATTATACTGTATTAGACGCAAAATATTGTTTCATTACCTCCAACAACGGCAACATACCTCAATAAAAGTATAGAAAAACTCACGAAATACGCATAATCGATTTACTGTAAGTGGCAACTATGCATGTCGTTTATTGCCTAACTGGGTTATGAGTAGAATATGTTGAATATTCTGACCTAAATCCGTCCTCTCATGGGAATAAAGGCTATAATATGGAGGCGAATTTAACGAACGAAAACGCTCATTTTATGTCACCTATAAATAGGCGGTGATTTCTTATCCTATTTGGGGCATGTTTTGGAGACTCTATTTCGTAACTGAATATTACTTGTTATTTATGTTTCCTATATTTTTATTATGCTAATTGACCTGCGGTTCCAATTTGATGCGGTCATAGCGTAAACTGATGATCTTACACAGAATTACAATCAATAGTTTAAACTTATTGTTTCTAGTGTATGTTGTTGCTGCTCCATTAGGGGCGGATCTATCTAAGGGCTTTTTGGGCTGCACAGGGCCCTGTGGATACTAAGGGCCCTCAGTCTCTACTGAAATAAAATGCGATATTTTTAATTAAAAAAATTAATATCTGAAATTTAAAAAAAATCCAATAATAATGTTGGAATCCCTGAGAACAATCAACTCATTTGCGATGCGCGACTATCGAATGGAACGGGGATTTCCCCGTCGCTTGTTTTTGGTTAGTTTTTTTTCGCGTGTGCGTCTCTTACGTGGGACTTCCCGTGATCGCCACGAGCCCCACAGATTCACGATCCGCCCATGTGCTCCATACCTCAGTCTCATCGTTATTATAACACAAATAATCACTCTTAATGAACGTCTGTAAGGGTATATTCAAGAATTTATACAAAAATATAAAAGTCTTACGGCTTGATTACATGAAGATAAGAAGATTAGCTTTCTACGAAGGATGTATTTTCGGTTCATATGAATGAACCACATTAGGATTGTGTACGCTTTGCTGGGTGCCTTATTAATTCTTGAGATTTCTTTTGAGTGAAATGAGATATTGTACGTCAAAAAATATTTTTGTGTACTACGTCGGTATTATTTGGCTTTGATTAAAATGACTATTGTGTGTGGAGATCAGAGGATTCGAAAATGTATTTACTGAATTACCGATGATTTCAATACAATAGGAGTATGAGTACGTGATACCAGAAACACAAACTTGCGAGCGGTGATCTGAAAACCTATCGGAGGTACTTAATATTCATTGAAGCCTTATATTTCAGATACTAGGTATATTTAAATACATTTATCATGTTGTTATCTATGTAAAACTGTTTGTTTCATGATAATTGATTTCCTGCTGAGGACAAATGTTTGTTTTTAATTTATTTTATTATTATTTATTACTTAAGATGTTATGTGGACCATGGTGTAATGGTTGCAGCTCCAACAAACGTTGTGTAAAACAAAAAACTTGGCTATTAAAAAAGAATGGCGGAGAGTTTATTGCCAGTTCTTGTCTTCCGTTCAACGCCCTTGATTTGAGAACTGGCAGTAAATGTAAAATTAGAAGCATTTCATATATTTTTTTTGACGTTCATAAGTGTACATTGTGTTACCTATATGAATAAATGATTTTTGACTTTTGACCCGTGTGCCCCTTTTTGGCAAAGGCCTCCTCCAATTCTCTACATCTGTCTACACTG